GGTAAGTGGTCACGTGTGTATGGGACGAGGGAGCATACCTCTCATAAACATTCTCTTTAGACCAGGGTGTCGGGGTCCTCTCCTGAAGATGGTAGGGATTATCCCTACTACATTGACCTCATTCGCCCTGACAGGCTCGTTGGAGGGATCCCCTGTTGGCACTTTACCTTGTCGTTGTGTATGTCCTCCGATTGCTATAAATTCTTTAAGCTTTTCGACGCGGATGTGTTCCTCGATTAGGTTCCGAAGGTGACGACACTCCTCTGTGTCGTGTCCGTGGTCACGGTGGTACTGACAGTACCTTTTCGAATTTCCTGAGGCTGGTGGCGCCTTTAGTGGCGGGGTCGGTTTGAAGTAGTCCTTATTTTGGATGTCCTGAACTATTTCGACCATCGATATACTGAGAGGTGTCAAACTTTGCATTTCCATGTAAACATGTAGTCTCTCATAATATTGAGCCGACTGTTGATTAGAGTGCTACTTTCAGTCATGTTTGCCTTGATCGTTTCTCTGTTGGTCTCAGGATTAAGAGTTGTTGTTTTAGTGACTGGTAGACTAATTGTCCTTTGTTGTATGCCTTGTTCTTTTCGCTTCTTTGACGGGTTGTTGGATGATTTTGGCTTACCCTTTGGGGAGCTCTGGAGGTCTTCTTCGGCGAGTATGTGCTCGTTCGCCATTTTCAATATGTCTGCGAAAGTATTAGGTTTAAACAGGTTTATGTCATATACGTGAATCGCTTGCTTCGGACTTCTCACTTCAAGGTTGTTTTGACTATTTCCGGTTTTAGATTTCTAACTTCTAGCATCTTGTTCTAGAAATGGGTTATGTAGGCTCTCGTTTTCTCCCTGCTTGAGGACGAGCAGGGTGTCCAAGTGTTCTAGAAATGGGTTATGTAGGCTTGTAGGCTCTCATTTTCTCCCTGCTTGAGGACGAGCAGGGTGTCCAAGTCTTTTCTCGGTTTCTACACGTTTCAAAAGTGCGAAATGAAGAGTCTCTTAAACTTATGGTAACTTAGGATGGTTTCGATCGACAAATCATTGAACCACCGAAGGACCAACTCTTTCAGGGTGGTTAAGAAGAGAAGCGACATTATTGGGTCGTCAATTTGGAGCAGACCGACGGATGATTTGAACGAAGCGACGTTGTCAATTGGGTTGGTCCTCCCTTTGTAAGAATCCAAATGAGTAATTCTTAGCTTGGGCGGAGGTTCTGCCTCTTTGATTTAGCGAGTAAAGGTCCTGCATGCGACGGGCCGGACAGACACTCACATCCGTTTTTCCCATCGCCTGTTCATCTGTTCGCCTATGCCGAGGCAGCTATGTCGGTGTGTAGCCTTGTTCCTCTGTCTGCTGGTTACTGACTTGGTTTTGCAGGATATGCACGTTCCCTTGTGGGGGCATTTGGGGACGAACCCCCAGGGTCCGCTACCAGACGAGGCTCGTGGTTGTTCTTCTGGGTGATTGTCGTCCAGAGGACTTCAAATTGCTCTATCATGAGGTTCATTTAGACTTGTAAGCCCTGTATCTGCGCATGGACGTCTGGTTATGTGATGTCTCTATTGGGTTCTATGCGTGCTATCTCTCTTTTGGGAAGTTTCTCCTTTGTAGTTAGCTCCGCTTTTTTGTATGGAGCATGTCCACGCTCACGCGCCACCTTTTAAGATGTTGGATCTCGGGTTGTCTTTTGCGAACACGCCTCGAGAGTTAGAGTCGAGTGAATGAGAGAATAAAGCGAATCAAGTGTTACCGTGGAGAGAACCACAGGAGTCTGTACGGCCCGACTCCTTTTGATTGTCTTTTTGTTTCTTATTTATATGAACTTATTTTGTATAATCACAAAAAAGAATGAACACTTATGAAAACCGTTCTTGATATGATTAATGTTCTAATAAATTGTATGAATTTTATTTCATATTTGTATTATAATTTGATATTTGATATAACGGTATTGGTTGGTCAATTTGCTAGAATGCAATAAAGTGAGGCAATCGACTGGGTGGTGACCTTTTCTCATGTTTGGTCAACCAAGGTGTTTGGTCGAATGACGATCTCGTCCGCCGCGAAAAAAGCGGGTCAGCCGTCCAATCGTAATCAAGGGGTTTTTGTCTGCGCTTCAGTCGATCGGTCGGTTGACTAATGAGTTGATTTATTTTGTCGGATGAACCGTGTCTCAATTGTCGGTCTATGACTCATCTATTTGGTCAGTTTGTGGCTCCAACCAGATACTCAATTAGCAAGGTCTTAAGTGGGTTTTGTCGCTGTCTGTGTGAGGTATCCAATTAGACTTGCTGTTAAGATGAATTACGCCTCACCCTTGGGGGTCTTATCGTCATCGGGTAAGGGATCATCTTCAGAGCTTTGATCTGTCCTAAATTTAGAGACGCGGCTTCATCTGCTTGACGGTGACTTGTTGGTCGGCTGTTTATCCTTTGGGGAAGCTTTTTGTTTTTGGCTGCTCGTTTTTTTTAAGATTCGTGCCATTAATTCTGGTGTATAAAATCTGATTTGACTAACAAAAGGTTATTGCATCAGATTTCCTTCAAGTTAAGGAGGCGCTTTATATTGATGCACATTTTTTTTGAATAACTTCCGTTGGTCAATAGACTTTTGTGTAACCTTTCATGGTGCAATCCGTAGACTATGGATCCTTACATCTCATAATATAGAAGAATTTCAGAAAAGAGTTGGAGTCAACCGTGGTGATGGTGATGTCTAACTTTAAATCTAATTCAATTCTAAAAATGATTTAAATTTGAAGGGCTGTTTGGTAACTTCTAGGATTTAACAGAAATGGATTTAGTAGATTTAGTAAATCCGAGATAGTTAATCCCAATAACTGTTTGAGAAGCTATATGTTAAATCCCATTAAATTTTGTAAAGCTGTTTGGTAACTTTTTCAAGATTTAAAGGCGTTAGTTCAATTTAATTTAATTTAATTTTCAATCATTAATTTATAATTTATTTAGTTGATTAATTAGTAATGCTTGTTAATTACCATGGATCCAAATAACTTTTAATAGCAATTGCTTATTAATTAATAATTTATTATTCATTCTCTAATATAATTTAATTTAAAATTAGCATAACATAATATTTTAAATAAGCATAATTACTCATCAATGAATAAGAAATTGCATAGTAATTAATTAGTTATTTATCAGGATAATTAATTATCAATTATAATTTTTATTAAGCTAATTATTAATACTTAGTATTTAAATTTTTATTAACTAATCTTTCATTAATTATTTACCTAACTAATACATAATTAATTAAAATTTTATTAAAATAATTTGATACGTCATCAACAAATTATCATCATCCAGCACAAATCTTGAAGTATGACAGATCTCGAGGCAATATTTTGAGCATGAATATTCAAATCTTGATAGAAAGTCATCCAGAGCTCCGATTTCAGCAAAATTATAGTCAAACTGATCGGCTCAATGAGACAGACCTAATGATATAAAAATTAGTCCAATCCGAGTCAAATCAGGCTCAGATCAAGTCATTAAACTACTACTACAGGATTTATGGAGACATTTTAAAGGTCAAACAAATGTTTAATCTAGCAAGTTTATAGTCGGATTGAGCGTCTCGAAAAAACGAATCCAACGAGCCCAAGATTGCTAAATTCCGACATCGTTAAGACACTCAAATGTCCATCAAACGTCATCTGATCAAGGGATGCTCTCCGGGCCGTCTCCGGGCCGTCTGATCAAAATG